CTGCACCAAAATTGGCTGTCTTAATTTACCCTGCCTTATCTTGCTATTTATTTCCATTAATTCACTATAATTTTTTTTTAACAAAAAGGGGATGAGCACTCTCCACCCCTCAATCCCCCTCCCCTCATGGTTACACCATTGAATAGTTTCATATAAGGTGGGAAACTTCTGCCCTCCGTTACTAAAACTGATTCCTGATTCATAAAATCAGCACATGCATGTGTTCCTCTGATTTTTCTTTAAACAAAAACCTGTGCCTGCCACTGTGCAATGGTATACGTAGAAGTCAAAATTAAGGATTCAAGCATTTTCTACTTTTTTAATAATATTTTGGGGTCATGAAAGCTTTTTTATATTTTACTCTTCTCTAACCTTTGTGCAGGTGGATTGTGGCAACATCATAAAAAACGTGACATACTTATTAAGGGTCAAATATTACCTTTTTAATGAATAATGAACAATACTGCATCAGTGTGTATACATTCATTATGCTAATCAAAATACAAAAGAAGAGACAGTTTGACCTTGATTTAGCCATATATGGAAAGCCTGGGATATTAAACAGGATGTTTTAACACTACTATCATTATTTATATCAACATTATTATTTTTATTATGAAAGAAAATAACATCTATCAACCTACTCGCAGACATACCATAAGTTGTTACTGTAACATGATAATTAAAATTTGAGAAAATTATTATTATACGAACATTGACATTCTAGTTTACAGCTTTTGTTTTATAGATTATAAGCAGTTGAATCCTGTATACCTCATTTGAACTTTTGAAAAAATTTTGAAATGTTCTTTTTTTAGCGTTATTTTTCTTTTAAGCAAAATTATTATTAAGGCATAGAAACATTAAATTACTACTTTACTAAAGTAGATGTTTATTGAGTATTATAATTTATATAAATCTAGAGTTATAACTATTATGAACTTTGAATATAATATTAAATACTTAAAAAAAAACAGACCTAATCATTTGAGATCCTTAGTACTCCATACACAAGTCTCTTAATGAGGGATGAGAAATAGAGTAATAGAATAATTATTACTAGACTATTACACTTGGCCATACAGTGGTGGGAGATAGGTGAAAATGGGGTTAATTATTAATCAATAACAACATATACTGCCTGTTTAAAAAATCAGAAAAATTCAAAAATTCAATCAAATCAAGTTGCTCTCTAAAAAAAAGCTCAAATAAGTTTATACACATTTCCATTGAGACACAAAACTAAGAGGAAGAAATTAAAATATTGAATACTTATTATTTGACCTGGAAATTTTTAAACAATATTTCTTTATGAATTATTAATGGTTCTCCTTAAGCCTTATTCGGGAGCTTTCGATTGCACGATGACAGTAGGACGTAGAACGTAATGACGTCACTAAAAGTCATCTGCGCATTCGAGAACGTTAAGGTCACTTTGACGAGTAGATTCTGGAACCCAATTTGGCCAAATCTACGTATGCAGAGAACGTAGGACGCCAGATAGGACAGTCGCGCATAAGTGATTCCGTTCTAACGTCGCGTCGTCGCACAAATCGAAAGCTCACTAATATTACTTGGTTTATAGTGCATCACTTTCAACCAGAAGTATGTATTATTGTACTTTCAATCCGTGTAGTAATTCGCAATACATTTTTTTTAAATAGTAAAATGAACGTCCTGAGGGCTCAGTCCCTGTGATTGACTGTATTGACAACTGATACTGAATACTTCCAGTTAAAGGCGGCTCAAAGTAGCAATTATTATGTTTAATGATCTGTCACCTTTACAATTTTCTCTTTTGAAATGCTCTTAAAAAAAAAACCACTTAATTGCTTGAGCAAAAGAAAGCAATGAATCGATGATGCATTATTTAGTAACTATTGCAATTGTAGTAGTATTTCACAGTTGTCAATATGGCCCACGGGTGCTTGGCTCATAAATTATGCGGCAGACTAATGTATACATTGTGCAGTAGGAAACTTTGTATCACACAACCACACACTTTTTAGCTTGTTTTTTCACGTTGAAATAACCATGCTCATACCACATCTTTCCATTAACAAAGGACATCACTTTTTAGCTTGTGATTTTATGGTAAAAAAAAAAAATAGAATTTTTATGCAGCTTTAGATATTACATTTTATATTTTGACTTAGCACATCCAATGGTCAGTATCCATGCTACTATAAATGGGCCATCCACATTAAATTGGTATTCAATGAAGTAGCCATCCTAATATCACAGTAACAACATGGCAGTTCATACTGGAGTATTACTATGTATATATTATTACAGGAACATTCACTTTTTGGCTTGATATTTTTTAATGACCTTATACCTTGCTTATATTGCTGAACCGTCCACTTTTTAGCCTTTGTAATGAAGTAACCATGCTTTATAACAGGACCACTCACTTTTTAGCTTTTTCAGCAGCGAAACAACCAATATATTGGGCCAACCACTTTTTAGCTTTTTCAATGGTGAAGGACCACTCACTTTTTAAGCAGTGAAACAACCACGCTAATATATTGCTGGACAATCAACATTTTAGCTTTTCAAATGGTGAAATAACCATCCTTTTATCAGAGGACCAGTCACTTTTTGTGAGCTTTTTCAATGGTGAGGTAACCATGCTTATACTGGGCCATCCACTTTTTACCTTTTCCAATAGTGAAGAAACCATGCTTATATCACTGGACTATCCATTTTTTTAGCTTTTAAAAATGGTTAAGTAACCATGCTTGTATCACATGACCATTCAGTTTTTAGCTTTTTAATGGTGATATAACAATGCATAATTGTGCGCCATGCATAGCCTCATGTACAACAGTAGCTGGCTTTGGATTCTGGACTCTCGCCTGGTACACTGTCATCTCTGCCATATAGCCGAATGTTTTCTAACTGACGGTTGATCGATTTCCTTCGTTGCTTTATAACTTGTCTAATTAATGCCTGAAAAACCTGAAACAATGAGAGTATTAGTAAATAACCTATGAATTTATTAAAGCAACTTTTAGAATTATGTTGTTTAATTCTTTCTGATCATTCAATTTAAGAATTCAGTTGCTCTGGCATCCGATTTCTATTTTAAAATATATCTTTATAAAACAGGGGCATCGGGTGGTTTCATCCTGGGAGGGGGTGTGAAAATTGAGAATGCGGAACAACTGTCCGTAAGGCTGTCTCTTATACACATCTAGATGTGTATAAGAGACAGCCCTAATATGCTGCCATGGGGGTGGGGGGGGGGTGCTTCTCAGCCTACGCCAATGTCTTATGTTCTCTTTTTGTGTGCTTGGTACTGTAAGATCAGGCTATACAGAATAAAGCAATAATTAAATTAAAATCCATAGAATAAATCATGGCTTATGGAGAAGAATTGTTTGTCATTAATATTCAAAAAAATAAATTATTATTTGCAAGGAGTGCACTTGTGACACCATTGAAAAAACACCTTTTTCTCCCTCTACCCTGCAGCTTAATGTACATCTGAATGTGAGGCCATAATGCTAGAAACCATAAAGAAAAATGAACTGTAAACTAGGTGTGTTCCCTTATGTTTCCTTACCTCATTTACATTGACTGACTCATGAGCACTAGATTCAAAAAATTCCATCCTGCACTCTTTGGCAAGCTGTATTAATGACAAGAAAAATGCATCAATTTTACAAAAATTAGTCACAGATTCAAAATGGGAAGGAGAGGACAAGAATTCAACAATGATAGATCCCTATTGGTTTGACCACAGGGGAGCCAACCGGTTTGAATCTGTGGGAGAGGATGTTATAATAATATATTTCCATTTTTCAAGTGGTAATATTTTAAATGTCACAACAATTACCGTATATATAGCTCCATCCACACTATCAAATTTTTTTTACCAAAAACTTTTGTATACCCAAATATAGTCATCATGTGCCCAAATATAGTCATCATGTGCCCAAATATAGTCATCATGTGCCTACATATGATCATTATGTGATGTCATCATGACCAAATTTGAAGCATGTCACATATCTTTGTGTGGGTATTGGGACATGAATGCATATGCAGCAATAAAAGAAACTGAATTGAAACGAATTAGACAGAACAGCACACAAAGGTAATTGCTTAGCATGTCAATGGAATCATTCTCCTCCTCCTCATCAGGGGTGGCACCAACGGGGGCCAGGGTCCGCCGTCGGGGATAGCTGGCCCCGCCGGGAGAAAAAAATGCATTTCTACATATTAGTAGACTCAATTTGATTAAATAAGCCTTTGAAACTACTAACTTGTCATATTTTTCGGGGCTTGCCCCCATAATAGACCACTTTCAAGATATTTTGAGTGACGCCCAAACCGACCTCTTGTTCTTTGTCAGGGACATCACCACCCCCCCCCCCCCCCCCCCCACTTGAGGACCTCGGACCTCCCGTCAGGGCCCGGTACCACCGCTGCCCCTCATCATCATGATCCTCCTTATCAGCAGCATTTTCCCTAGTCATTATCCATGCTATATTTAAGTATTTGACTTTTTCCCTCTGCCTATTTTACTATTTCAATATTTATTCATTTATCTATTCGCTATCTACAAATGTCTAATATCCTTTTAAAATAATGTATGAGACAAAAAAAAGTTCAATCTTCATTCTATGATGAGGAAAATATGTTAAACAGACTATATTATATTTTTTTGAGTTGACAAATATATAAAAGGCTCATTATTCAGTGTCCTTGGAAAGATATAAAATAACAACAGAATATAAATTTTATATTAAGATATACATTCTTTGTACATTGCGAAACAAAAATAGCACAATATTTTGTTATTGCTGGACATGACATTTGAATGAGTAATAATTGGCTTGATCCCCTTTTTTTTATCTCTCTCTACAGCTTTCAATGTGGTAATATTGTTGACAAACACATTGATAAATATAAAATGACAGAGGGAGTAAATGTATGTGCATTATACCTAAAAAATTATAGTCTGTAGTAGGTGGGATTTTCCCAAACCCCACTGAGTAGGGATAAATTTACGGAAACACCATCGGGTAAGATTACAGGATTCTTTTCTCCACCGGTCCACTAGATAGAATGTGTTTTAGAGTTTTGATAGTGAGTTCTCAAATATTCTATGATTGTCTTACTCTTTCTCCTTCCGCTCTAGAAACTGTCCGTAAGGCATCTGCATCATTCTTGTTTCCAACAAGGACCATTAAAACATCAGGTGATGCATGCTAAAATTAAAAAGAAAACAATATAGAGTAGTTAATGTACATTATCCTCTGTATATTTGTACCTTCATTTATACTTTAAATTTTAAATCTAACTATAGCACAACATACATTGTGTGGCTGTATCTGTATAATACAAATATTTTACATGTAGATGCAAAAAATTAATAAAGAAAAAAATTATACACACTTTATACACACTATTCACTAATAGTTGGTTAAGCCTGGTTTCCATTGAATCGCTACACATTCGCTACAGCGTTTTTACCGTAATCCTTGCACTGCGTAGCTGTCTCCGACGCACCTGGGAACACTACCCGATTCAACTGACCGATGAGCGTCGCCAAAACAGTCAGCGACAGCGTGTAGCGATTTTTATGGAAACCAGGCTTAAAAAGTCAACAATTCAATTAAAACATTTTTGTTCACAATTTAATAATCATCAAAGACAGAATTTTAATGAATATACAACCAGAGGAGATGACTGACATAAGTTTAAAGCACTTTCTCTACTACTACTACTACTAGTACCAACAAGATATTGCCATGGAAACTTTGTTATTCAAGCAAAATCATGTACATATGGAAAGAAAGGCACTTTAATTAAATAGATTTTATATTAATTGTAGGTAGGGACATATGGTGAACAGAAGGAAATAATAGAAACAGATTGATTTTGTATTAAAGTTTATGTGCTTACATCTGTCTGAGAATTCACAGATTATAAAAACACAAATAGAAATGTACTGTATACTGCATTTAAATACATTAAAGGAAAATTTAGTTTTCTTTGCCATCATCATTCAAGAAAGTGGACGACAGACCAAATTATAGCCTTGAATAAGCAGGCTAACAAGTATAGGCAGCAAATGATAGACTGCGAAAACGCAATGATCTACATTATAATAGTTCATTATCTACATCATTATTAATAGCTGGAAAAGTGTTATAGAATGCTTTATAGCAATCTGCCTCAGTAATGTAAAATCGCTTGAAAATATATTATTAAATATATCTAATATAGACAGTTTAACAAAAGATAGATTATATGTATACTGATATATATATATATATAGATATAACTATCTGTTGACTGACTAACCTCTTCAACCATATGCATCCATTTTCTTGTGTTTAGAAAAGATGTCTCACTGGTTATATCATATACTAAAATTATACCCTGCAAGAAATTAATAATAACGACAGTAATAATGAGGATATTGATATACCACAATAATAATAACAATAATTAACAATAATGAAACAAATTCAATGACAAACTATCTCTTTAAATATGTAGGCAAGCTCTCAATGCAATGTACATTGTACAATTATTAGTCAATAACAAATTATAACTGATAACATAACATCACTAAATTGTATTTATTTATATTATTTAATCCAAAATTACTATAGAAAAAATGATTTATTGCAGTACTTAATTAAGTGATTTACTTAATCAAAATACTGCATACATACTATAACACATTGTATTTTTCCTAAGCTCTCTGGAGTAGAAATCAACAATATTATGTACTATATAGTTGACCCTAATATAGTAAACACAATGTATTTATCAGGAATTCTCATTAAGCACATGTGTAGAAATACAGTCCGACATTAGTTAAAGGGCCCGTCAAGGGCTTTCTTTTTTCAACTCAAAACATCATAACAAAAAGAATTTCATTGCATGGAAACCAGGAATTACTATAGCTTTGGCAAGTCCTTGCTTTGGTAATTCCCAGAATATCCCTTGAGCTGGTGCCTATTGCAATATGTCAACCCCTTTGTAACGTTTCCTGTTTACTTTGCAGTGAAACCAACAGATGGATCCTGTGGACATACTGAGTGCATGGTCATGTGTTAACTGGGTACTCAGCATATCCATAAACGTACACATTAAAATTGTATAAGAGTGTTTCATCCTCAATTTCTAATAAAATTTGCCAAAAACGATCAATAATTTTAATCAGATTTACAGGTAGTATTTAACAATCTTAAATAACTGGTTGTTTCCATCCTTTTTAAGAATTCACAAAATTTTCTTTTTTTTTAAAATTCAAAACATTATCAATACTTAGGGTTAATACTATAGAATAGTTTTCATCTTACATATATCTAAGCATTTTAACAAATTGTGGGAATAAGGGCAAGAGGACTGCTTCTTGGGTCTGCCAATTGACACCCACCAATCTGAATCTATACTTAAAGTTATTTATTTGATGGAACTCAATTATAGTGTATACTGAGAGGCATTTATTAGAAGATAACGTGGAAAGGTTTTTAGTGTTATCTATTACTTACAGCAATTAACCTTTAGATATATTCTGAAGGTTTTAATTAATGTGGTTCTGAATCTACATGAAGCTAATTAGTATTGGCTATGCAATTAGTAAGGCTGTAGCTAAATGGTTAAGATTATTGCCTTCCAATCCCAGGGTGATGGTTTCAAATCTGGGGTGGCACCAGGATATGCCCGATGGGGACACTGACACCCCGACGAGAGAAAAGTGGGCATGGTCGGGTGTCGCTAAAAATCTTTTGAAAGTGTTCCAGGGGAGAAGCCCCCCAAAAATATGACAATTTAGGGGTTTTAAATGCTTATTTTTAATCAACTTTAGAGCTCTCCCCGACAGGGGGCCCTGGTATGCAGCCCCCACTGGCACCAACTCCGGTTCAAATTCTTCAATGATCCTGAATCTATATGAAGCTGTGTATGAATTATTGGCTGTGCAGCACTGAAGCTGTACAATGACTTGGTGGTTAAGGTTATTGCCTTCCAATCCCAGGGTGATGGGTTCAAGTGCTGCCATGATCCTAAATCTACATAAAGCCACAGAAAGTATGAAGTGTTGTACAGTGGATTGGTGGTTAGGGTTATTGCCTTCCAATATGAGGGTGCTTTGTGCAAATCCTTTCAAAACCTACTGTAGGATTTATCATCACAAATAAAAAATAACTTCACTCTGTAAACCTTTACGAGTGAATAGAGCACATAAAAAATAACTACACTCTAAGCCTTATTGTTAGTTAGAGCAAAGCAAGGCAATTTGGAAGAATAGTAGCTTGATACTTATCAGTCCCATCAGTAAAAAAACAAATTTAAAATGTCATCATACAGTAGTTGGTCAAGGCTATACGTTCCCCTTGATTAAAGTTATACAGATTTAATCAATCAACCAAATGGTTCATACTGTACATTATTAGAAATAATATAGTGGTCAAAATAAAATAGTCGTCTGTCCCATTCTCCCCCTTCCCCTGCTGTTTTTTAAGCACTGTACCAACTCCTGTAACCATGCCTCATTATGTTATGTCACATGTTATGTTATTAAACATGTTAATTTCTTATTATCAATATATACTGCATACCTGTGCTCTCCTATAGTATTGTGTGGTTATCGTTTCATATCTCTCTTGACCCGCAGTGTCCCTGATAAACACAACAAATATATGCTAGCTATATTATTATGAAAGTTTGTACATTGCAGTTGACATTTCACCAAACTGCGTAAAACTAATGAAAAGATAAGCTGAATCGAAAAACAAAAACATTCACAAAACAAAGAACATCAATTAACAATCATACAGTATGCAAAGGCATTATATATAAAAATAACTTACAAAGATTAAATTTACAAAAATCACAAGAAAGACAATTAGTATAGTAAAAATTAATTCTATTCATGTTAAATTTACAAAATTATGATAAAATTAAATTCCTTAAAACAATATTATTATATAAGGAGAACCAAATCAATCAAAAAATCACCTATCAATTATTCCAGGAATCAATTGATCATGTAATAAAATAATAGTCAACAAGTTAATATAAATGCTTACCATATTTGAACACGTATCCTTGTGCCATCTACTGTTAACGTTTTCATTTTGAAATCGATACCTATAACATAATGAAAACAGACAACAGTCTAGCTTGTAAAAATAAAACAAGCAACATGAAAAAGGGAAGAAAAAATTACAGGATTGGTAGCACACTTGACGTCCATGTATTTATCAGCACTTTTTCAGAAAAATAAGTATAAAAATTATAATTATTTTTTGCTTGCTGAATTTTAAAAGATAGAGCATATATTATGTGCATTTAAGAGAAATTAATGCATTTTTTGTAAAAGTAGGGGCTTATCCCGATGCTATGGTTCAATTCGGCCCCTGTCGTTGTGGAATAAGCCCCTCTTTACGGCTGGTACAGTAGTAATGGGCCTCGCCCATATGCAATTCAGCACAATGATGCTGCGACGAGTTATGATTTATTTGCCTACCTTTACCTCTAACTTTACATACTGTAGATGTACATTTCTACACATGATTTAATTTTATTATTTTTATTATTATACCGTAATACAATATTTCATAAACTTATGAATATTATTATGGCTCTATGAATTGTCCAATCAGATAGGTTTGACATTTGAGTACTTTACAGTTCAGCAGAGGAGTGCCAAGTACTTCCTATTAACTCTTCTGTGTGCATTTTGTCAATGAGTTTTACAAGTTTATGTAAGTAGAAGATAAAAACCAGCTGAAGCCAGATAAAAAAGTTTACTTATAAATAATATATATACACACTAATAAATATTAATAGGGAATACTTATAAATGAATATGAAATAAACATGCATTATTATAATCAAAATGTAATATGGAATATATATATTTTCAATCAAAATAAAATAGAAAGAGAAAATACAAATATTTATTATTAGTCCAAAATGAATAGGAATTTAAAACCTGAATAAATGTAGAGTACTGAAAACATTGTATTGAAAATGGTTCTAAAAATAGTACAATATAATATTCACAATTTTTTTTTACAGTATCTCCTATCGATGGAAAGAAACGAATGCCAATGAACAAGCATTAAACCTGAATAACAAATCTCTCTGCTAAGGTAAACAATGAGCGTTGATTTCATTCAATATTGACAATGCATTGCATTGCACGATGTTGACTAACTCTGTATAATTAAGCCATACTATCGGTTTGATTAAACTACGACTCTGATCCACAATGGTATTTCAACAAAACCACTTTCTTTAGACCATATTGCTTGTGATGTAGGTGCTCTGCATGCTACCAATGTATATGGGTATTAAGTCCTGGCGTTTTATTTTCTTTTTTAGTAAAGTATAAACAGAACTTCTCAGCGAAGATTTTCATAATGTAAAAAAAAAAACAATTGTACCTTTGATAATTTTAATTTGAGACAGAACACTGAAAACAAAACTGAGCTCTCTTGAAAATGGAAGTATTTTTATAATGATTGCAATAAGTGAAATCCAAATACTGTGGATCAGTAGTATTAATAATTAATAGCTCATTAGATTATATGACCTGGTTTTAGCTACTTAAATGTTATATCATTTTCATTGACAAAATGGTTGTACTTCAATGTTAACTTAAATTGACTCACCTATTGTTGAAATGTGTGGATTTACTACCGTTTCTTCGGTAAAGCGACACAACATACATGTTTTCCCGACACCAGAATCGCCTATCATCAGTAGAAGATGTGTATAAGAGACAGTAATGAATGAACCTAAGTATAAATTATTTATTAGTCAAAAACCTCAAAATTCATTCTTTTTCGTAGATATTGATAATAAAGTAATAATAATAATTTGAGTAATGTATTTATAATGTTATAAACATGTAACTATGACAGGGGTGGGCATAAAAATCAGTCGGAGGGCCAAAGTGAATTTTTGATTTAACACCGAGGGCCACACCCAAACTTTGTTGTTTCCAGTGTTCTTCCAAAAACCTCCAAGAATTGCTTTTACACCAATTTATTCTCTTTTAATTTTACTTTTTATATATGATCGGTGTCAGGCCATAACAAAAAGGTGTTTTCTAGCCAATGTTGCTTGGCGGGCCGCACACGTAGGGTTTTTAATTCATTTTTGCTTGCCGCAAAAAAATTGCTGGCGGGCCGAATGGTGCTCGCGGGCCACACTTTGCCCACCTGTGATCTATGACCAATTTATTAAATCTTGAGGCTAAGCACACACACTTGCTGCAAGTATACAGTAGTCCGGGATACATCGACCAATTGTCGATTAGTGATTCCATTCTGCTAAGCCCGCCTCTTGAATATTGTTGCTAAGGTCCTATGGCAGCGCATAAACATACCATTAAATGCGTGCATTTGTGAGACAAGTACGTGCCCCTGGCCCTGTTCTCATCAACACTTTGGTAAATGTTCATTATATTGTTGTGAGCATGTTTCAAGTGTCAAACTGTCAGTGAAAAAACTGTTTTTTAATGTGTCTAATAATTAAAAGTTTGCATTGTTTATTGAAGAAAAATACAGCTACTACCATGCAGAAACAAGATACTAATTGAAAAGCTCTCAACATTTATGGAGCACTTGAACAACACTCTTGGTATTAAAAATGAGGGTACACTCCATTGAACACGGGAGTAAAGTTACATATCATAGTATCAGAAATTGTGTTACAATATGTCACCAGTTTGAGCTGAATCCAACTAGTACTAGGCCTATTATTTTTATATTAATACTCAATGTAATTATTGATTATAATTGAAAATTTAACTGAATGGCTCATATACAAAATAATTGAATCAATCAATTTCCAATTTAAAAGACATATTAATTATTTTTTCTGCTTTACAGATAGGCCTATTATTACAAGATTATTAAATTGCAAATTTAAAGGATATTAATTGGCTCCTTTATTTGGCTAAACAAAAATCAAATATAATTATTTTACATTCTTTAGTTCAAATCAATTAAAAGTATTTGTAATCTACTGAAATTATGTGCTGTATGAGCTATACAATAAATAAGATAAGATAAAATAAACTTTATTGTCATAATTCAAACAGGTGAACATGAATTTATAAAACAAGAGTATAACTCTAAAAAAATGTTTTATCATGGAACATTATGTCAGCAAATTGTAATGAGGCCTATACTTTTTTTAAATGTTGGTAGAAGAACATCTAACATTTCATCAAAGAGAAAAAGAAAAGATGAAGAAGAAATAAAAAAAACGAAGCATGTTGAATAATTATTGAATGAAATTTTATTTTTAATAATATTAGCGAATTTAACATAAATATCTGCTTGATAAGCATAGCCACTTTGTATAGACATTATCTTCTTCGAACGGTTAATACACATGCGACTACTAATACTATCATCATTTAAAATAGATATCATGACAATTTCGGAAAGTGGAAAAACTAAGCTATCCCGTACTAAATAGAGTGTACTGGATGGAGTCTAGCTATCTACTACACTAGGCATAAGGCCGATATCGCCTATCCATATCATTATCACCTGTTGAATGCTTATCGTAACATCTCTATTTTTCAACAATACCAAATATTACTACTGCAATTCAACTGAATGTTTGTACTTCAATGTTAACTTAAATTGACTCACCTATTGTTGAAATGTGTGGATTTACTACCGTTTCTTCGGTAAAGCGACACAACATACATGTTTTCCCGACACCAGAATCGCCTATCATCAGTAGACGGATCAATACATCGTATTGTTTCGCCATTTCGATGTCCACTCCAAGTTCTGCTGACGAAGTTCGATTGAGAGATGCCTGCCTCAGTTAATTTAAATTAGAAATTTTATGAATTCTACTAAGAATAAAGGGCCACATTGGGTTGCATAAAAACACACAAAAGAATGGTTTTATATCACCGCATATCGGAACAAAACCGCTGAGCTGTAAACTTAACTGAGTTGAGTTGTGTTGTACGTACGTAAGCAAACACTTTGCTTTGGCTCACGACGTCGTCTGCTAAACAAATGATACGGAAGTGGCTCGTTTGTTCGTAATTTTGAACTACAGTACTGTATCGAGAAAGTAGGGCGGCCGCTAGAGGGATATCTCCGTCGTGTTTACTAAACGAAAAACGGCTAAATAAGTCACCAAAATGCCTACTGATGTAGAAGTACTTATAGAGATGGGATTTTCAGAGAATAGGGCGTAAGTGTTAAAGTACTTGTTTGGGCTGTAAAATATTTAGGATTCTCGGGAGTCAAATTAGGCCCCAGGCCCCGAGGCCTGCCTAGCCTAGGCCTACCTAGCTAGGCTAGGACTACTAGGGCCTATACTAGGCCTAGGCCTCCTTTTTGACTAGGCAGACAAGGGAGCAGAGCAGGGCCGAGCCTAGTCCTGTATGTATGTAATTGTAAGTAAATCACTTAACAGTGCACTGATTTTGATAAAAACCAAACAAAATAATAATAATAATAATTAGTAATAATAACAATAATAATTAATTTAATAAATTTAAAATCATGACATAAATCTAAATTAAACTTGGAGAAATTATGGACGGTCCACAAGTCAATAATGTCTTGAAAAAACTGTGCCTGCACAAGGCCTATACTCAGATATGAGGTTCTGTGCAGTAAGCCATACAGATACAGATATATACAGATATAGGTTAGGTCATGGATTAGCGGCTAGCCTAGTATTCTTTATAGCTAGGATGTATAAATAATATTATTCATTGAATATATAATATCTTCATGAAAAATATATACATTTTTTTCATAGTCGAAGAGCTCTTGCTGCAACCAAGTATAAGGGTGCTCAAGTGGCAATGGACTGGTAAGATGAAGATCCTGTACCATAATTTCAAATAGAATAATTTTAATAATACGAAGTCTTTCCACACCGCCAAAGACTTAGTGAAGCATTCTTACAAAATTTTCATAATGCAATCACCATACAAATTCTGTTTAACTCATCAGAGAATCAAGGAATATTTATTGTCAACAATACAACAATGTACATTCTAAATTTGTATCCATAAACTTAAATGGTTAAATGTGCAAAAGATAAAAGTAAAAAGTGTTATATAACAACAAGCAAAATGAAAAGAACATGTACTGCAAGTAAAATACAAATAGGGTTACCCATAAAAATGTAGATTATTGCGAGAGAGATATTGCAAATTGAACATATAATAAAGAAGATTGGAGATGATGACAACTATTCTGATAATATACGATTGTTATCTTAGAAAATTGTTATTAGAAATAAAAATAGATCTTCTCTTCATATCAATCTTAATGTCGATAATACCATGTTATTATCATCAGAATAGGAATTACAATCACTGTTATCAGCTTCATTTGTTTAACTGTCAGTTACCTAACTAGTGCTGTTCAACTTCACATGCAAAAAGAGTGTTGAAATTCAGTTTCTTCAAATTAGATTCTAATTCTCAGGAGCCTAGCTTGGAATTTTGGTTGGTGTAGCTTGTAGATTCCGCTTTAAAATTCAAAATGTATTATGCTATATAACAATATGATCATTAATATTTGATGTTGATGTATAAACGTTGTATGTGTGTTGTTGACAGGTTATTTGCCCATGCAGATGATCCAGGTATAGATGATCCTATTGAGGAGGCACCTGGTCAGAGATTGGGTGATAAACCTGAGGCAGAAGGTAAGAAGTTTATGCTTAACAAACTACATTACAGCTCTGTCCAGATTAATCAAATTTTTTTTACAAAAAACTGTTGTATGCCCATATATAGTCATAATGTGCCTACATATGGTCATGATGTGATGTCATCATGCCCATATTTAGACATGTCAAATAAGTATGTCAAATAAAATTTGATGGTCTGAACAGGGCTTTAAACATTTAGCTGCATTCACAATGAATCCAAACCGAAATTCGGACAGCGTTTCCGATGCGCTGAACACCAGCGTCCCTATTCTTACACACTAATTTGAATTTTTTTTATCGTTTTGGAAGGCTTTCTGATTCGAAAAAATTTGAATTTGCGTGTAATATAGTGTAAACTTTGAGTAATAATTACTGTATAATAATATAATAATAATAATAATAATAATTTTACCTTTGTTGTCGTCATTATCTTCATTACTATCAACATTATATGACTTATTTTTAATTAGTTTTATTATCATTATAGTATGATTATTTTTATTAATTATCATATTCATTATTAATATTATTAATTACAATATAATCATAATCATCTTTATTATTATTATTATTATTGTTATTTTTATTAATGTATAAATGTTTGTATAAGGTGGTTCTATCCCTTTCTGATTTGTGGTTGTGTAAATAACCTGTATCTTTTGTCCGAGGTGATAAGAATGCTGATGAACCAGCAGATGAAGCCAAATCCATCAAATGTGATGAGTAAGTATATTTCAAGAATTGTTTCATTTTTTTTACACTTAATGCAGTGCATTTCTGGAAGTCTTGAAACAGGGTGGGAGGGGGGTTTGCAAAGCTGGGTGTTGTGGGCTCGATGATTAAGTGAGGGGAGCTAAGTCACAAAATAGAGTGATATGAGGCGATTTTTAACTACTTAAGGTTTATTTTTTTGCATTTGGACATTTTAAATGGGGGGAAACTAGGGGTGCTAGCTTATTTTAGAAGGGCGTTCAGATATGCATTATTGGTAAATTATTGAATAAAATGATATTTTCTATCATTGAGTAATGGTGTCGTTGTTTGTAATAAACATTATTATTATTATAAACACAGTATATTTATACATCAAGGAATGATGATGTTGATGATGATGATGATGATGATAATGATGACGATGATAATGATGATGAGGATGATATTAATGATAATTACAATGATGATAATAAAGGTATAATAGATTAAAGAAGTATTGTATTGTGTATTTTAGATGTGGTAAGAAGCTGAAAACGGAATCTGATATTATGGTAATTTTGATTTTCATTCAATAATAGTATTGATGGATGACTTGGAAATAACAGTGCTAATTCAACTGTCATCACAATCCCTTCATTCATTGTAAGCTGGAAAATCTCAAACCTGCAGGCACATCGTTATCTGGTTCATCATCATCATGATCACCACCACCACCATCACCAATATCATCATATCACCACAATAACCACTATCATCATCATCATCATCATCATCATCATCATCATCATCATCATCACCATCATCATCATCATCATCATCATCATCATCATCATCATCATCATCATCATCAAATTCTTTAATGTAGCCTAATCTAAAGTGATATAACTCATTGGTCCTAGTTAAGGTACTCCTAGATTTTTTTTGGCTCAGGAAAGCAGTCACTGTACAGCAACTCCCGTAGTGTTGAATCAGCTAGTGGTTCCAGAATACAGCCATGATCTATTCCAAATAGTGTTGTACACAGAATCAACAACTTTATGTCTCTTTCAAAATATTGAGCTCTATAACAATGTCTTGTAGGTGTTGAGGACCGGTGATGTTCTGTGCTGCCAAAAGTCTCCATCCCAACTTTCAAACTTACTCAACTTAAGTTACTTTACTTTTAAATTTCAGATGCATGCTGCTCGAACTGGTCATTCTGGATTTTCTGAGTCTACAGAAGAAATAAAACCACTTACAGAAGAAGAGAAGAAAGAGCAATTAGCCAAGTAAGTTGATAGGAATTTAAATTAATCACTTGTTGTATGCACCTCTGGATCTGTCTCTTATACACATCTAGATGTGTATAAGAGACAGGAGTTGAGTTGTGTTGTACGTACGTAAGCAAACACTTTGCTTTGGCTCACGACGTCGTCTGCTAAACAAATGATACGGAAGTGGCTCGTTTGTTCGTAATTTTGAACTACAGTACTGTATCGAGAAAGTAGGGCGGCCGCTAGAGGGATATCTCCGTCGTGTTTACTAAACGAAAAACGCCGCCCATCTGGTCCCTGTCTCTTATACACATCTAGATGTGTATAAGAGAATGTTCTCACTCATTCTAATAAACTAAATTATTTTTTTCTGGCCAATAGAGGGAGCTAGACATGCTATATGATTTTTTTTTTCTTATACTTTGTAGATCCGTCTTACTGATGGGAGCACATTAACAAATTCATTTGAGGCCAAAGAGCCGTTAGCTGCTGTTCGACTTTACATTGACGTGAATAGGAAGGATGGTAGTTCACCATTCTCCTTAATGACTCCGTTTCCAAGGAAAGTTTTCACTGATGAGGACATGGCCAAACCTTTAAGTCAACTAGGTAGGTACAGTAGCATTGTGGTTGCAGTGTTTCAAGATACCTTTAAGTCAACTAGGTAGGTACAGTAGCATTGTGGTTGCAGTGTTTCAAGATGCTAACCTTTAAGTCAACTAGGTAGGTACAGTAGCATTGTGGTTGCAGTGTTTCAAGATGCTAACCTTTAAGTTAACTAGGTAGGTATAGTAGCATTGTGGTTGCAGTGTTTCAAGATGCTAACCTTTAAGTCAACTAGGTAGGTACAGCAGCATTGTGGTTGCAGTGTTTCAAGATGTAAACCTTTAAGTTAACTAGGTAGGCACAGTAGCATTGTGGTTGCAGTGTTTCAAGATGCTAACCTTTAAGTTAACTAGGTAGGTACAGTAGCATTGTGGTTGCAGTGTTTCAAGATGCTAACCTTTAAGTTAACTAGGTAGGTACAGTAGCATTGTGGTTGCAGTGTTTCAAGATGCTTACTTAGTATTCCCAAGGTACTGTTTCAATCCAGGCAAAGAGTTTTGTCGTAATACCTTGCTCAGTTTTAAGAACATTTTCATGGGAGTGATGTTTTGCTCTACCTGATGTGTTATCGTACCGAATACTTGGTACGTTTCCAAATACTTGCATGCTTTAAACATGTCAACTGAACCCCTTCAATTGAGATCGGTGACTCATTACACCCTCACCAACATGTAGAAATCTTAGGGTTGTAGTGGATTCTGCACTTGTAATGTCTAATCAGATACAGAACATCTGTAAAGCTGGGGTTCAATCAATTTGACACATTGGAAATATCTGGATTTAAAGTCAGTCGAGATTCTAGTCCATGCATTTGTTTCTCCGAGGCTGGACTGTTGTAATTCTCTTCTGCTTGGCTTACAAGCAAAGGACATGAGGTTCAGCGTGTGCAGAACTCCGCCGCCCATCTGGTCCACCAAGTCCCAATTCGTGACAAAGAATCAAATTTAAGATACTTTTGTTCACTTAAAAAGCTTTGCACAACACTGCCCCATAATTCATTACAGAACTCATCCATCTATATGCCCCTAAAAGGTCCTTGAAATGCTTCTTGGGGTCTCTTTTAACACACTCTCTCCACCCTTCAACTCAGTTTTATCATGGAGGTATAATAATACCTCTATGGTTTTATGGAAGTCTGTCATTTTTCATTGCCTCAGTTGCCCTTTCGAATGACATACTAACCAAAATTTTACAACTAACATCAACACATTCAAACAACTACTCAAAAGAAATTTTCTTAATTTATAGTTGAAAATGGTTTTTGAGGGGCGTTTATTCAAGGGAGGCGTTTATATTTTTGGTGTAAAATAGATACATATATACTCAATTAAACACTGTATTAAATTAATTTCACTGTAAATATGAAACTACAACACATAATCACCGTCAAAATGTGTTATTGTGTGATTATAAAGACTTATTGTTTCCCACCAGGTTAGAAAATATGTAAATCTACTGGAGTTAATAATTAATAGAATGTGTTGAGAAATGAGGTTGCTTCCATTAGATTTGTTGGTTCTTTTTTAGAATTTGCCAGACGGGGGTGGGGGGGGGGGGGGGGCGTTTATTCAAGGGTAAAAATAAACACCTCAGGGCATTTATTCCAAATGAAGCTCTAGAGGGGGGCGTTTATTCGAGGGGCATTTATTCAAAGTGGGGTGTTTTATTCGAATAAATATAGTATTTATTTTGTTATTCAAACCAAGATTTATCTGCACACATTAAACTATATTTTGTGTCTGTTTTTCTATTCAGGTCTTGTTCCAAGCGCTGTCCTAACGTTAACCAAGCCACAGTTATGATGTCATCAAACAACTTTCGAATATATCACCATTAAATTAATAACAAACCCAATACGGTAATATGGACTTTTTGATGGATGATGTTAACAAGCTAAAAACTCCCTATTAAATTTACCACGTGGTGTAACAATATTACCTACAAGCTGAAAAGTAGTTCATTCATTCATTCATTCATTCATTCATTCATTCATTCATTCATTCATTCATTCATTCATTCATTCATTCATTCATTCATTCATTCACTCATTCATTCATTCACTCATTCATCCATCCATCCATCCATCCATTCATTCATTTATACATTTGCCAATACATTATAGAGCTATAAATTTGTTATTATAATTACATGTCTCAAAAATAGATTTTTTTTTTTTTAATGAAATGGGGTTACAATGGGGTTGAAATGAATAAAAGCAGTAAAACATTTTCTTCTAGTGCCTATCAAATTTTGTTTGACAAAAATATTTGGCATTTCGAAATATGGTCATGATGACATCACATCATGACCATATATGTGACCCAAGATCACAAAAGGGCTGTAAAACTTGTACTCTATCAAAATGTTTATTTTTATATAAATGAATAGAGCACATCATTAACTTTATAATGAGGGCTCAATGACCTTAATCGGACAATTATGTGTAAAGTTAAGCTATTTTGAATTAAAATTATTCTCTATAAACTGGCCTTTAAAGTTCTGAGCAAAAGGGCTTTAAAAGTACTGAAGAAATTGAAGAAAAATCACAGCAGCAGTCAAAGAAACTCCTTAGCAAAAACACAGTCCCCATTGAGATGAAATTTTCTACAGTTTGCTGGAAATAGTTTGGGGAACAGAAACCTTCTATTTTTAAGTCAATAACTCAGGAAGTTAATTGGTGATACCCGGGGTGGGGGGGGGGGGAAATTGGTTATACCTTTATAAAGCTGAAACATCCACGTACTGATTATGGCATCCCTATTGTTCTGATGAATTTAGTAGACATAAGAAGTGTTTTTCATCAAGCCTTGTTAGAGAGTTTTGTTGGGGTGTGGATGAAAAAGGGGCGGATTGGGGTTATGGGGGTCTGGATTTAAAAAATAAATAAATTTATAAACATTTTAAAAATACATTTTCAGAATTATGCAAGTATTTACAAGTAAAATGATCAGGATTTCTATTGTTGCAAGCTACATTGTAGCATGGGGAGGTGGTAAACAAGCTGTTTATGCAAGACAATAATTCCTCCATTCGAACTACCGGTTCCATCATTAAAATACTGGTAGATCCCATTAACTACTCTCTATCTTCTTTAATATTAAAACATTTAGCGTTATTTATGCATCCGCAATTCTTAATTGAATGCAGGCCTATACCTTTCTTTGTGACCAGTGATCCAAATCAAATTATGCCAAGGGCTGATGGGAAATTACGCTAAATTATACCAAATGTTAAATTTAATGGTTGTTTAAATAAGCGCCTTTCTCCCACCTAAAATGAAAGCAACAATATTCTCAATAATATTACTGTATACCCAGTGGTGCCGCCAGAGTCAACGGTATCAGGTCTGATGTTCCTGACTGGGAAGAGTGGAGGAATTGGAATGGCCAATTTTCAGGACGGGAGAAAGTTGCCGGGGTCAGGCAATCAAGAACCCTACAATATATATATTATATTCAATATATATATATA